AAAAAAAAAAAGAAACAAACAAAATCAGGTTGGCACACAACAGTGCCGAGTAATATCTACCTGCATAGCCTTGTTTCGCACAATCTGACCAATCGTCACCCTTTATCTGTTTCTCCTGCACATACAGCAATTTTTTTTTTTCCAAACGATAGGAGAACACATACAGCAATTAAAATGAAGAAAAATCATATTAAGTGTGTGTGTGTGTGTGTGTGTGAGAGAGAGAGAGAGAGAGAGAGAGAGAGAGAGAGAGAGAGAGAGAGAGAGAGAGTTAACAAGTACATCTTACTTCTGAATCTGGGAAAACTGTTTCTCCACCTTTCTTGACATTTGATAAATACATGAGCACAGTAGCCACTCGATGACCACCCAATTCTTGATTAGCCTTGTCGTGAAAATAATCGAAATGCGGCTCGTACTTTTGGCCATTTTCATAGTGCAGAATTTGCATAGCTTCCCCATTTTCTATGATTTTACAAACACACACACACACACACACACAAAAAAAATAAAAATGATTCAACACGAAGTTTTGGTAAAATGAAAATTTTGGAGTAGAACATCAAAGAAGCTGTTTTATAATGTACCAACTGGGAGGAAAGTCCATGCAGCAATTCTTGCCTCAATAGTAGCAACTATGTCATCCTAAAAGAAGATAACAAATTAGCGAAATTACTCATTATTCACTATAACAAAAGATAATGATAGTGATAATTTCACTCAGCTTCCATTTGTATCGAACTCGGTCATTTTCCAAAAGCCATGAAAGTGGGAGTCGTAGATACTAATATACTATACTGCAGCCTGATTATGTAAAGTAATGATCAATTTCAATGAGAAGACAATCAAAATGAAAAACTCATAATATGAGTTTTTAAATCATAGTGATCTGTCTAATAAGAGAATAATTACCAAACTTAGACGGCATAATTAATAATTTTTCTCAAATCAACCAAGAGCTTCAACGAATATCTTTCTAGTTAGCCAAAACCATAAGTCCTTGAACTGCGCAAGCCTAATTTTCGAACTATACGATCTTTTTTTTTTCTTTTCTTCTTTTACCGGACTTAACAAAAGTATGGAAACTCGCCTACCGAAAAGCGGATTTGATAAATAGAAATTCCAAACTATCTCCACAAATAGAAAAGGAATCACATCAATGTTCAGTAACCACAGTCAATTCAAAAAACTAAGTACAAATTCATGCAATTTCACATCCACACTTAATCTAAGTCCAATAAATGTATAAATCGGTGAAAATTCGTTTTCAGAAAGAAAACATGAAGAATCTCCGGTCGAAAATACTGATCTTACATACCCTTAACAATCTATATGTCTAAAAGATGGTACATTAAACAAACGCTATAAAATCAAAAGTTTTAAGAACAATTGCTACAATTTTGAAACTAATTATGTAATTATTTGCTCACCTGACCCTTCGCAAGAAACATGCCGGAACTTGTCCTGACTTCACTCTCTATACTCTTTCCAGATTCATTATCAGCCACCATAGACTTCTCCAACTTATCTTTGGCCTAATCACATACAGTAATCACCAAATCAATAAGAACTACATCAAGATGAACCAGAAATGTACATAAACAAAAAGAAAAGCTAACATTAACCAAAAGGGAAAACACAAGAAAACCAGTTAAGCCCTTTATATATAAATCCAAGATACACACGAAAACGAAAGAAAACAAAACACACTAACCAAATATATGAGATGATCACACTCAGTATCAGTCAAGAACCCTCTATACAGAAAAGCCCTGTAAAAAAAATAACATCAAACAAAACCCGTATCAACTTTCATTACACAAACAGAAAAAATGATGTAGGGAATCGTACGAGTGAGAAAGATAAACAAGATACTCTCTCGTAAAACACACAAAACTCGCTATATCATATTTATTCTCAAAATTCACCACCTCATAACAAAGCAGAAGAACCCTTTAAATAAGGCCCTCAATCTAAACCCTAGCTTAAATAAACATGAAAAAAAAAATGGCATGTAATCAAAATGGATACGAAAACAAAACCTGGGAGTCCAAGATATTTGGGTAACGCGTGTTGGATCTAACGAACGCGAAGCAGCATCAGTGGGCAGTCTCAGAATCGATTCTTTTCTGATGTAAACCGATCGAAAAGGAAAAAATTAGATGGCCATGGCCGTGATCTACATTCGACAGCAAATGGAAAATAAGACAAATAAGAACTGTAATGAAATTACCCATGCGAAAATCGAACAAGCGAACACAGCGAAACGAAGAACAAGACTCTTGGGTCCATCAGATCGAAATCTTTTGTTCCTTTTCTTCCCTATTTTGTTCTCAAAGGACGCTCAGTTGCTTTGGAACGAGAGGCCACGAAAAAATGGTGGGTTTCTTTTCTGTTCAATTTTGGGTTTTGAAATTTAGCATATAACGTAAATGTTTGTGAAGATGACAATATGACACACGAATTATAAAACCGAGAAAAGTAAACAACACAAGATTTACGTGGTTCGCTCGGTCGCTCCGCTTCCCTCGTTACGTTCGCTCCGTTACGCTCGCAGGCATCAGCCTGTCCTCTTCTTTTGTCAATATATGAGCAATACCAACAGTAAAACTAGGAAGCTAATTGATACTAGCTTATAACTTTTGTATTTTCTAAGTTTATAGCTAAAAAAAATTAGTTAGTTTATATGATAAAAGTGTTTGATAAAATTAACTGATAAGTTAGATGAAATAAAAATTTCAAATAACTTGATTGAAAAATTACCTGAAAGAAACTTATAAGATAAACTCGAGCTTTTTAAAAAAGCTAGTCGTTCTACTAATCGAAGTTTATTTGAATACATGAAACTTATAAACTAACTAAATAAATTGTAAGAAACATAGCCTTATTGGTCATACTCGAACTTATTTAACATCTATTTAATTAAATATTGAAAATTTAAATTCCTATGTCATTTTTTATAATTCGTAAATTGAAATTCGACTAGTTAGCGTTAATAAACTAGCGAAATTCGAGGCTGCTTAGTTAACAAACCGGCTTGATTAAAGTCTGAGTCCAATTTGTTTGTGAGATTGAGTTGGGTTACAGGGAAATGCTACAGTCTTATTACGGTACCATTTCGTTGGATTGTTATTGTTAGATCATCATGTAATCGTCGTAGATAATTGATCTAACGGTTACAAACCCCAACGAAATGGTTTCGTAACGTGACCGTGGAATATTCTGGGTTACAATTTATGTCTAACAAATTAATAATGATACATCCTTTATAGCAAAGAAAAAAATGGAAAGTGAAAAGAAAAGGCAAAAGAACCAAACTTCACATCAAGTATGAAGTCTTGTGAAGTTTTGTTGAACTTTGAATTTTGATGAAAGTATTATAAGTTGAATAATTTTCTCGGAACATAAAACATGGATATTGTTTATCCATGTTTTGAAGATTTGTTATGGTGTATTTATTACAATTTAAAGTTTTGTTGAACTTTGAATTTTGATGAAAGTATTATAAGTTGAATAATTTTCTCGGAACATAAAACATGGATATTGTTTATCCATGTTTTGAAGATTTGTTATGGTGTATTTATTACAATTGATTAAATTAGAGGCATTTTTATTTATTTCAGCTACTTTTTGTGAATAATTGTCTCTTTTTCCACAAGTAGGTCCAAGGAAATATATTTTGCACTGATCTGCATATAAAAAATCATTATTTCAATTTGGGTTAGTTTAATACAAATGATCAATTTGCATATAAAAAGATCATTATTTCAATAGGGGTTAGTTTAATTCAAATGATCAATTTAGAGTCTACATTTGCCTTAATTCAACAATAATTATCATAAACTAAAATTGTAATAACTAACATATGAGGAATTGATTAGAGCAATAACATCTGCATATTTTATCCCCAATGGACTACGAGATATGACTTGTGGCTTATGAATTTAGGAAATAGTACAGGTTCAATTTTTTTTTTTTTTTTTTTTTCACAGTTCGGTTCGATTTGATTCAGTCATTTTTTTTTAATACAAATATCAACCCTACTAAAGTTAAAACCGAGTGCTCGGCGAGCTACTCACGCTTAAGCTGCATTTGCTTAAAACACCCGTAAACTATAGCTATGTTCGAGTCGATAAAATTCAAGCAAATCTCGATCATTTGTCTACATTTTTTGTTTAATAGAGGCTTGAAAAACTTGGGCTCGTCGAGCTTGAGCAAGTTATAAAAAATTTAAGACAAACTCAATAAAGCCATTGTTCGACCCGACTCGTTTATTTATGACCATACTTTCAAAACCTGCCATTGAAAAGGAAACAATATACCACTAACACGACAAAGATCAACTAGAAAAGTAAAATCCGGACAGTTAGGCAGAGACAGAAAGTAAAGGCAAGAATGTTTTAGGTTCCTGAAAAGCACATTTCACACAAGGAAAAGAACAAATATATATATTTATATATATATAATAAAAACATTTCTGAATCATTCAGTTGGTAATAATTATTATAAATTTGAGTCTGCAGTTAAAAGGGTTGAATCATCTGTCTAAATCAAATTCTTTTTAGAAATCCACAAGATAAAGTGAACAAGATTTTCCAGGGTCTGATCAGATTCTTGTGCAGACAGTTAAAATTTGCAGGAAAGTGCTGAATGTTAATTAGGAAAGGCCGAAAGGGGGCAAAAAGAAGAAATTCAAAAAGCAAAGGAACTATTATGCAATTTGAAGAGGAGATTATATAAGAGAATCAATAAATAAAAAAGAACAAATGAAAATCTAGCTTTGCCCAATGAATGCCAATACAAGACAAAACAACAACACACAACAGTTTTGTTCTAAAAAAATTCAAACTCCAAGTATGTGCCCGAGGGCCTTCCCGAGTCACTGGCCCCCTTTTGATTAACCGGCCTCAAAGCCTCGTTAAGCGACTCGAGATCAACGGGCTTGGGAATATGAGGTGGGCCCGTGCTGCGAACGAGGGCCCAATTCACCCTCTCGAAAAACGGGTGTTGTTTTATCTCTGTGGCCCCTCTTTTAAATCCTAACCTCTTCTGAGGGTCCTTTGCAAGCAAACCCCGAATCAAATCCTTCGCCGCGAAACTAATCGCGGGCCCTTCAGGAAATTTTAGAGATCGTCCCACAACATTAAATAAAGTCTCCCTATTGTCATTACCTTTAAATGGGGTTTTCCCGTGAAGCAACTCGTACAAAAAGATGCCGAAAGTCCACCAATCAACCGAGCTGCCATGGCCATCCCCTTTGATAATCTCGGGGGCTAAATACTCGTGGGTTCCGACAAAAGACATTGAGCGAGCCTCGGTTGGCTCGGCAACAAGCACAACTGGGGTTTCTTGTTCGGTTTTTGCCTTTGAGGTTTTTCTCGAGTTGAAAATGTGGGGTTTGAAGCAAGTGGGCTGGAAGCAAGTGGGCCCGGAGCAAACAGGCAGTTTACATGTCGGGTCGATGCAAGGGGTTTGGGTGCAATATGAGGAATTTGTCAAAGATGGGTTGTGATTGGAAGTGATGAGGGTGGGATTTACGTAGCATTTTAGGGACAAATCGAAATCCGTAAGCATAATGTGGCCATCATCTCTAACTAAAACATTTTCGGGCTTCAAGTCTCTGTAGACCACGCCCATCATATGTAAGTACTCGAGAGCAAGAAGTACTTCCGAGGCATAGAACCTGTCGAATCAAGAAAACAGACGAATGGCGTAAATTATCGATGCGTAGTTGACAGAACTCGGAATTTCGACAAAACAAACGCTGGAGCCTGGATAAGAGTAACATCAATACAATCAATAAAATGTTCTTGTAGATCTTATTATTAAAATCTCCGAAGCAAAATATATACAAAGATTTAAACTTGAGTAATTATATTGGTAAAAAAAGATTAAAACTTTGACTGCATCACAAGTCTTTCGGAATTCAATACTCACCCTAAACATTTTCCCTTCCATATTGAAGAAACCAAGAAAAGAAACATCAACTACATGATCAACACAAAACCGATTGAGGAAGAATACCACCAACACTAATCCAATCTCATTATTGCCATTAAAAAAAAAAATGCAATCCATATCATACTTTCATAATCCACAATCTTTTTGGAACTTCAACTTCCGCAATAGCGAAACTCAATTTGAAACACAGTCGAGTCGCCCTAAACAACAAATACACACGAGACGAGGCAATAAATTAAACACATTGAAACCAATATTACCAAGATAACTCATTGCTTGCTCCGAAAAACCGATCAACTACCAGATCAACATAAAACCGATCGAGAAAAGAATACCTTCCATAATATCACGCTTTCATAATCCACAATCTTTTTGGAACTTCAACTACCGCAATAACAACAATTAATTTAAACACAGCTGAGTCACCTAAAACAGCAAATACACACAGACGAGACAATAAACACATTAAAACCAAATTTACCAAGTTACCTCGCTGCCTGCTCCGAAAAATGCTTGCCTGGCTGGCGCTGCCTGAGCAAGTGCAGGTCCCCGCCGCTGCAGAACTCCATCAGCAGGCACGAAAACTTCTCGGTCTCGAAATGCGAGTACAGTGTAGGCAGAAAAGGGTGATCCAACATTCCCAAAATATCCCTCTCCATCTGAGCCCGGCCCACTTTCCTCCTACTCACCAGCATCGCCTTATCCATCACCTTCATCGCGAAAAGACAACCCGTGCCCCTCAGCTCCGCCAGGTACACACTCCCGATATCCCCAAACCCCAATTTCTTCAGTAGCCTGAAATGGCCCAAACCGAGCCCGGCGGACCCACCTCCGTTGTCCCGGGCCCGGACACCCTGTATGGCGTCCCACCGAACATCGTTCCCCTTGTGAGGCTTGGACAGGCAGACGCTCCTGAAACTCGCCCCGTCCCTGTCCCGGTCTCCGCCATTGCAGCAACTCACCGAGCTCAAGCTGCTCTTCCCGCTCTCCGAAAATTGCTTGGCGCCGCCGCCGGTGGTGTTGTCGGATCCCGTCAGCGTGCTGCTGCAGAGGTCCGCGCTGGGGCTGCTGGCAAGGCTCAGGTCGTGGAACTTGATCTTTAGGGAAATCGGGTCGGAGCCCGGGCAGCCGTCCGGGGCTCTGCTCATGATTGGGCCGGAAAAAGGGCAAACACAGATTAACAAAAAGAAAAGAAAAGGGAAAAGGAGGAATATCAGAGGCAAAAAAGGTGTTCGATGAAATGCCGGAGAGGCGAAAAATGAGCTGTCTCTTTTTATAAAGGCTGTGGGGAAAAGGGAAAATGGAGGCAAGGTTTTTTGGTCAAATTGAGGTTTTGGAGACGCCGAGAGAGAGAGAGAGAGAGAGAGAGAGAGAGAGGCGCCAAATTAGGGGATTGGGTTTCGAATTTGAAATTTGGGTTATTTGATTGGGTTGGGTCGTGCGGGAGGCCCAATAAATATGGGTACTTAGTAATTAATTTGGGGCGTTGGGTTGGGTGCCCAATAATCTATGAGCCCCATCCAGTGGTTTTTTATACTGTCACCAAACAATTGATAATGAAACAGCTTTGAGACAAATTATTTGCCAATATTTTATCTTTTTTTTTTTTTTTT